TGAAAGGACTGTTCATAGTAACCCACATATAATTCCACTACCCTAAAACTTACCGTCATTGTTTAGTGAAGCATTTTCAGTGCATTAAAAAGAAATTAATACAGTAAGCAGAGATGGGTTAGGACTGGGGATAGGGACAGGGATTTGTTCGGAGGCAAACATGTTTATGATGAGCTCCCTAGTCTGATGCTAGGGAACAAAAGGCTCATTCTTCAGTTCCCAGAAGGAGCATTAACAGTAAACAGCCGGCTTGATACTGTCCTGCAGCATCAGATAATTTTTTAGCCAGGCTTTTCATGGGATGATGTGTGCTACCATACAGGTGTGTCTGTTTCAGTGGTGAGTGAAACACCTACCATTGATAAATAATTGTAAAAATGGCCTTTTACAAATGAAAGGCCACAGAAACATGACCTATTACACGACTGGTCAGCTACCAGAGCAGGCAGCCATCAATATTTGAGTTTGCCTCTGGAAATCATTTTATTAATAAGTTGCCCTTGTCTATCTTTGACTGTTTCTGTGTGGCTTTCAGCTGTCATGTGTGTCCAGGTGCAGTAATCTACCAAAGGTGACTCTCCTTAGGAGCATTCATGTGAAAGGGATGTGTTTGTGACACCACTTTACTTTATGTAATATTTTTATTGTCATCCAATTGTCTTGCAATAGGGTACCATGGATATAATATCAGGAAGAAAAATTGTAAATCACATGAAATGTAAGAATAGAGTAGTATTGAATTTAGATTCTGTAGACATTTACTAACTATTCTGCCCCCGAATAAAAAACAAATTTTTCTCTGCGTCTTGGGACACTGGATAAAAAAATTATTGAATAGATCAGTAAAAAGTTACTTATACTTTCTCCTTAGATTAGTTTTTCAGGAGCAAAAGAAGCAGCAAGTGAATCCTTTATTGATTGTCATTTGGTGACATTTTTAATAATGAAATTTAAATATAGACTAGCAGGAGGGTGGGTTCAATTTGGACAAGACACACGTTGACTTTCTGGGTTGTTTGCTCACTGTAGACACCGACTTGTTTTAAAGAAGGGGCTGCATGTTGATCTCCTTTGTCTGCAGCAGGATTGATTGACGGTTGTTGTGTCTGCTCATTTACAGTGTTTTTCTTGTTTAATTTAAAAAATTGTGACATAGTATTACATGTTCCTTGTATACATCATTTTTGCAGAAGAAAGTTGTTTAGCCAATATGTCGACTTAGCTTATGAAATCTCTCTGTGGCTTTCAGTCAGCCCTCTGTACTTCATTAGGTCGTATCATTCATTTCCTGCACAGAAATCGTCACCAGCAGCAAAATTTAACATTTGGTCCTTTTAGGTATAAAAATGAATCAAATGTCTGACAAGATTTGTTTCTGGTATAAATTTCAGGGTTCCCCCCCTCCCCAATTTATGGGCATACGACAAATGTTACTAACGGGTACTTTTAGTTTTTAAAATATGGACAACAGTACTCCATGCAGTAAAAGACTTGAGCGATTAATGCTACCCTTATGCCTCTTTTGAGTAGTTTTAGCCATAGGGCTTGGCACTGCCACCATTGTCTTTGTGCCAAAAAATATCCGCAGCGGCTGTCGCATTCTAGTACTGGAGGGTTGTCTCGAAAATTCCGCAGTGAACGCGCCTGGTTTGTTCATCACTGCTATCTCTTTTAAATATTGGGAAAATAGAATCTTTAGCTCTTTCAAAGCATCCGTGGTAGCTGTGAGACTGGGGGTGGGTGGGTGGCGGAGAAGAAGAACAAGGCTGTCCTCACCAGCCAATTGGTATAAGTGACAAAAATCCATGGCTGACAAACATAGAGTAAACACAGATATTTAGGGTCTTTTGTGCTCCTGAGCTCAGCTACTTACTTAAGGATCCTACTCAAACATGTTATCTGCACTTTGGAAAATGTTATTATCTGAAATAAATATTCCAATTAATTTTAAGCAGAAAACCAACATCAAGACCATAGCTAGTTCTTAGTGGACTATTTACACAAAAGATACAGATATATATATTCCCCCCACTAGAAATAGAGGTGTCATTTAAAATGGCTGCTTTTTATTATGTCAAAAAATGAAAATCTTTGTTTGAGAAGGTCTGATTATTTTACTGATATTTACTGAGAAGGTCTGATTATTTTCCTGATATTTACTGAGAAGGTCTGATTATTTTACTCTCAAACAGGGGCCTGGGTTCGGAGGGCAGTTTATAGTTGAATTTGGGAACAAAAAGCTATAATAAATGTAAAGGTTTACACTATCAGAATTAAAATGTGTTCGCTCATGATCTCTGGAGCAATCTATTTGATGGTGAAAGTAGATACTACAGATGAAATCTTCACAAGGAGCATAATCCTTGGAAAAAAAAAAAAAGTCCACCTCCCAGCCTCCTGCTGGCTGCTCTGCCTCTTTGGTACCTCGCAGACTTCGACAGAGTCCTGGACGGGTGCCCATTGATGTCATGGAAACACTCACATTACTGAGAATGATTCATGTCTATGCTGGTCTCTTATCCTCCCCCACACAAATAGGAGTAGATTTTTAACCCTGACAACTTGTAATTTGCAGTGAGTTTATTTTTGTATCTGGATAAATATTTTTTAACAAGCAAAATTAAGATTAAGCAGTCTGTATCTGATATGATAGTAAAGAAAGCCGGGCCCTTGTAGCCAAGTGTACTTGGGGACTCGGGCAGCATGGATTGGTTTTCTCTCCTCCCTTTTGCCCCTGTGTCCCCTTTTGTACTCCTTGCTCTCTCTGTTCCATTCCTCCTCTCTCTCTGTCTTCCACCTATTCTCTTTCTGTCCCTCTTCTTACAAACCTGTTTGCATTGTCCTTCTGGCTTTAAAATAATTGAAGAAATGACCCCGACTTACGTATATCAAGTGAGAAAGATCCTGGTAGGAAAATCCTTCTCTTTATTCTTTGTACTAGAGTTAGGGTTAGAAAATAATCGTGGTAGTAAAATTCTATAGGGGGTCTTTTCAGTAATTCCTTCTGTAGGAAAAACAGAATAATCGTCTTTCTTCCTCAAACTGTATTTTGCCTTTTGTAAGTTAATTCTCTGAAATTCTCAAAACAGGATACTAGATGTTCAATTACCTATGAAGTCATAGGCAGACTCTTTCTCTTTTTCTTTGTTTCTCTCTCTCTCTCTTTCCTTTTTCTGCCTACCTGCCAGTCTGTTTATTGAGTAGTGAAATATCAAAATGAATTAGGTCATCATTATCGTGAAACAATTTTAGATACAAGAGTTAAAGGGAGATATTGTCCTTTGGTATATCATATAGAAGTCATGCCTTTTCTGTTAGAGGTATTTATAAGGAGCACTTAGAGGGTAAGGGTAGCTTAAATGTCACTTACAGGGATGCGTGTGTGACCGTTGCCCTGCTGATACAGGTATATGCACCTGCTCCAAGCACAGTTCTCAGCAGTGGAAGTCACCCTCGTAGATCTGCCAAGATGGACAATCTGTGTGGTGGTGTCTTGTTTCACTGAAATTGAAACTGAGACACGCATTCATTTTGTACTTTGTACTGAAAACTGTATCAGAAATGGAGAGAGGGGATGTCTTCCCAAGTTCAAGATGCCTTAAAATCAGTTTTAAAAAAGTTACTACTGGCGAACAGATGGTTAATTTAAGATTCAGGTTTGGTTTCCTTTGAAAATCACCTTCTACCTCTGTGCATATCTGTGTATGACTTAGATACAAGGTGCATTTTTAACTAGATGTAAGATTTCTGAAAGATACATTCTTTGTGTCTTGTCAGAAAGGCATGCTCTAATAGCACTGCTATTTAACTAAAACATAAAGAGGCTACTGTACTGTTACTTTTAGCATTTGCAGTTAATTTTGGTTGAGGGGGAAAATGTCGTCGTGGTAAACTTTAAGACAGTGTTAGTTCAGCCCCTCAAAAGTTTTGGAATTTTCCTATCAGAAAATGGGATAATATAGTCCTGTGTGCGAAGGCCAGTGCACCTTAAGTCTGCAGTCAGGAGGACAGGATTGTTTGCAGCCTCAGGTGGGCTCCCTTAGGAGCTCCTGGTCATGTACCTCTGTGGGCAGTTTCTGGATAAACTCTTCATATGGCTTCTACTGTTTAGATCTCTTGTGATGTGATTTTATTATTTTTCCCTGCTGATTATTAAGGCTAGATGTAATTTGTAGGAAACCAGTGAGTAGCCTTGATTTTTATCCTTGGCCGTGGTGGAATAACAGCGGAAGTTCTGTACAGTAGACTAGTTCATACAAGAAATTGAGCTTGTTATAACTGGAAGAGAGCACTCATATTTCATGATCCCTCTGCCTTCTGGGTGTCCTGCTGGATCTGAACTTGGGTTCAGAGTGGGTGATTTTTTTCAAAAACCTTCTTTCCCAAATGCAAGCTCCATCATCATCTTGACCATGATGGAATTTAGTCCTGAAAAATGTTTAAAAAGGAAAGAGAGAGAGTCAGAATTTCTCTTCTCTTCTCTTCTCTTCTCTTCTCTTCTCTTCTCTTCTCTTCTCTTCTCTTCTCTTCTCTTCTCTTTCTGAATTTACCATCTGGAAAGCCTCTGATTGATTAGCTTTGGCCTGCCCTTTAATGGCAATATAATCAATGGGAATTTCTAGGCGAGGGTCATTACATATATAATTTGCCTGCTGTGTAAATAAAAATGAAATTGTTTAAATTTTGCAAGAGAGAAGGAAAGTGGAAATAAGGCATGACAATTTGTTTGTAGAGAAAGTGGAGGCCATTGGAATGACAGTTTTTGGAAGTGTGGAGCAGTTTGGCTAAGAATAGGAATGAAGGATATTTTTTTCCAGTTTATCATCGCCAGAGTGAGGAAGTGTTATTCCCTCTCTTGCTTGCATACACTGCCAGTAGTGCCTACTTTACGTATGTAAACATCGGAGAAGAGAAGTTGATGTCTGTTACCTGAAGGAGATTTTTTTTTTTAAAAAAAGGAGAAGCACAATTTATATATTTTTTGTTGTTTCTCTTGGCAGGTAAAACAGAAAGAAGCTCATACTCATCTTATGGAAGAGAATCAAACCTACAGGGTTGTCACCAGGTAAGTGTGAACTGGGGAAGGGTGGAGAGAACGAATCTGGGAATTTGGTATGTTTTGCAAATTTCGACTGTGCATTTTCAACGCTGACACTAAGTGACCCTGAAATGCTGCCGCTGACTGTCTTTTTAAGTAATGAAGTAACACAAAGCTTAAAACTAATAAACACCTCATCTTTAGATCTCTGCCGTTTCAGATCTACACCCACTGGCTTGTTTTTATTTTTTAATCCAGCAGCCGGTACCAGTGGCACTGTTTGCAAACCAGCAATGTCAGGCTCTAGCAAAGGAGTTTATTTACAATTAGGAACTTAGGAATTTTTTACACGGGAAATGTTTCATGGAACCCTGTGTCAGACCCTGGGTTCAGTGGCTAGTGCCCTAAAGTATAGTTTTCACAGGGACTGTATGATGTTGTGTGAAAACAGGGTGGTATTGAGGGATAAAAATGTCTGTGAAAATATGATTTGTTGTCCCTTTTTGTTTCTGAATTGTTTTTGGCTGGAAGTCAAGGCCAGCAGGCTAACAGTAAAGCCGTCTCAAAGGAAGCATGCGTGAGCTAGAAAAATAAGAGTACTTTAATTAAATAATAAAGTGCCAGTGTAATACAAAGGTATATCACTGTGTGTGTTTGTGTCTCTGTACACTGTGCATTTGTATGCTTTTAACTCTCCGGAGAGAACCCGTTTCTAAAAATGCAACCAGTAGGTAAAAGTGACAGATTTTATTTTAAGACAACCGAGATTTTATAGATGCTTTCTTTTAAATTTCGGTGTGGGTATTAATCATACATGTAAATTTTTTAAATTGATACTTTTTATCAGAGCTTGATTTCTTTGGGAAACTCTTGATGTAATTTAATAATATGTAACATTAAAAACTCTGTACTGTTTCATTATTCACCCAGACAAGATGCACAGTTTTTCTGTGCTGGAAAAGAATGCTTACTCTTTTGAACTCTTTGGTCTTTCAGTTTCTTAATAATGTAGAAAAAAGTCCTTTTGAGGTTTGTAGAATAACCTGTGTAATGTATCTCTGAGAAACATAAAGCAGACATGCGTTTAAACAGAGCATCTGAAGGAAGTTTCTTTTACATATCACTCATCTAGCACGAGAAGTAGAATTCTGGTAGGTTGGTGTTTCCCCCCCCTTCCCCTGTATACATTTGCATTTTTAAAGTTGTCTCCTTTGGACCAGTTGCCAATTCAGTCATATTCGGCATCTAAAAGATTTGTTGCAATGAGATGAACAGTGCTTGGTTAAGATCTCTTGCCGGAGTGCAGTTCATGGCAGTTTGTTTGGAAAGAATTCTGCAGGAAAGAAATTTACAGCTATTCCAGTGCAGCGGAAACATCTTTGGAATGTGAGTGCACATGTTCGGGGCAGATAGTCTGGGCGACAAGCCTCTCGGGGCTGGGTCTCTGGTGTAAAGCTCTCAATTCCTGCAGAAGAGCCGGTTCCTGTGGATCTGGTTTCTGAGGGTCAAGGCGGAGGTCACTAGAGTTTTGGGGAGAAGAAAGTTGACAACATCCTTCCTTTTTGCAGATGGTCGTGGCAGAGGTCTGTTTTGCTGGGCCCCTTTTGCTGGTCATTGAGAGAATAGGCTTCCTCGCCCCTGTATCCTTTCTTACTAATAGGAATTGGCGTGATTCCTCACAGACACAAAGATTTCCTCTGCTGAGTAAGCGCGAGGCCCCTTAACTTGTGAACGCATCATCCAGACCGTGTGAGTCTGTCTGTGTGTGCAGAACACAGACCTTCCTCCCTCCGTTTGTGGGGAATACTTCCCTCGGGTGAAACTGAACTTTTGTTTTTGTTTTTGTTTTTGCTAACACAAAGGTGAGAGGTGGAGGGGGTAGAGGGGGGAAATAGAGGTGGCTGGCTGGCATGCGATGGCTGAATTTCTGGGCCTTGGGAGGTTCCTTTTGAGAAACTGGTGTCCAGGAAAATTCTTTTGTATGGGGCTATGACTGCATCTGCTTTTCTTAAAAAGCTTTCAGAATCTAGCTGTGGAGTGTGGAGATTCTCTCACTTTTACTTGTGCTACATGATTGTGAGTCTTACAAGGACTGTCTGTGTGCTTAGCATGGGCCCAGGAATATCCACAAACAAGGTGATGACTTAGGGATAATAAAAGGGAAATATTAGAAATTGCCTGTGCTGGCGAACTAGGGCTCAAGGATGGAAGTGTGCATCCTATGCATTTTTGCTTTCTGTGGATTTGCAAATAGAACAGACCATAGTATGTCTTCCCGTGAATCAGTTTCTCTTGTGCTATATTGTTCTTTGAATCCCTGTCTCCTACACCAGCTATACAAACCAAAAATAAGGCAATAACCTCAGTATCTTGGGCTTCACGTCTAAATAGCAGATCACAGCTGAAATGGTTCCCCACTGTGTGACAAGGTGAGTGACTCCCAGGAAGGAGCTTTTGTTTTTTCCTGTTTGCTACATTATTAAGAAGCTGGACAGAAAACCTTTAGAGGATCTGCCCTAAGGAGCTGGCCTTTCCGTACCATACCAGTGTGTCATGTGCATTTAAAGAGATGAGCAGTGTTGTAAGGGAGATGCTTATTCCAGTCCCAGTGGCTTTTTGTTTGTAAAGAAATAGTGCTGGTAAGCAACAGGTACTAGGACACTGTCTTGGAGGAATTATTGCTGTGAAATACATATTGTTTCATAGGTCCACCAGGTTAGTGTGTGTGTGTGTGTGTGTGTGTGTATGTGCGTGTGTGTGTGTTTCTCTGATGGAAATAATGTTAACCCATTTTTAAAACTGGATATTTTAACAGAAAGAAATTGGCAGATTCTTTATCATCAAGTAAGTTGTGTATAGTAAAACTATGAGTAATAATTCAAATCCATTGATGTATTTCCATGTGAAATTAGCAGAAATAAATATGGTCTCTTTTTGAGGCTTTTGAAAATCATATGGAAAATAAACCAACAAAATAAACCATTAGGCAAAAATAAGCAGCTAAGTAGACTTTTAAAAGTTTACACTAAATATGGAAAGAAAAAAATTAAATCAAATTGGGGTATGGAAATCACACCCAGGCTTAAAACTGTCTTGCCAAATTGCAACCTCATACTACTTAACGGGCAGCAAAAATAAAACTTAGAATGGAAAGTGTGACCGAAATGAAAATGAGCTGAAATAAACTTTTTCACATGATACCCCAACTTAATGCTATAATAGCAAATACCTAATTCCTAAGGGGTATCATTGCAAATGACTAAAGGGACAAAATAGCATTTGCTTTGGACACTTTGCTGCTTTGAGTAAGACATTTGGCGGTTCCAAACTTTTAATTTGCCGAAATCTCCTGTTTTTGATTGAGTGAAGAGGTCAACACAGTAGACCATTATTAGGGCAAAAGTTTCCCTTGAATGCTGCTTCAGCCTTGATCAGGAGTTGTTTGACTTCTTCCTGAGACATAGCCTGAGTCTAAAGCAATGTCTGCTTTATTAGCATTTCCTGGGCAAGATATATATATGTGTGAGAGACATCGATTTACAGAAAGCTGGGTCCTGAGACCACTCAAATTAGAAGCTGAGGAGTTGGCCTGTTTTTTTTTTTTTTTTTTTTTTTTTGATAGCTCCCCAGGTGATCCTAATGTGCGGTGAGGTCTGATCATTTCTGAGAATGTTCTTTAGAAATAGATTTTATATGACTTGTGTTCAAAATCTGGCATTACTGGTGACCTTGACGAAGTTTTTAGACTTCTTGCCTTAATTACATTATTCAAGACCCAGAAATATTGCATGTAACCTTCATTTAAGAAGCAGTGAAAAATCCATCATTTCTTGAAAATCAGGAAGATCCCTTGAAATTTGTGTGCAGAATTCTACCACTGAATGTTCCAGCCCATATCCTGTTTTCTCTGATGAAGACCAAGCTTTTACATCTAACTTCATTTACTTTCTCAGCAAATAATCTAATAAGACAATGCTGATAAAGTTATTTGATGTTTGGATCTTAAAACCAGTGGATGCAATTTAAGAATTAGGCCTAATCTAGTAGTGTAATTTTAGATTCCGCAAACTTTGACGCTTTAGAGGAAATGGATCTTATCTGTATCTAACGGGTTGTTCATAAACGCATTCATGTTTTATGAACTTTACATTAAAGTTAAACATATGACTATATATAAAATGTATTATGCATTTAAGAATTGATTATTCTTTTTAATTTTTATTTTTGATATAAAATATTTTACAAATGTCTTAAAATGTTTCTTATCTAACATAAAAATAGGTTATAAGAAAAAAATCACAGTCTTGTTATGAAAGTGACTATTTTGGATTTGTGTAAGCAGAAGTACATATTGCTTTTTAATTTGATATTGCACATAAATGTTTGTTCTCAGTGTTGAGTAATTCAGTCCAGGTTCTCTGCATTCTTCCTCAGCCTCTTCTGTGCAGGGCCCCCTCTACATCCTGCCCTAGCACTCTGCTTTCTCTTTCTAGTGCTCTTTCAAATGTGCCTTTATTTACATTTGTTGGATGTTTGTTTCACCAGGATTCTGTAAACCCCTGGAGGGCAGGGGCCATATCTGCTTTATTTTACACCAGAGTACCACATGCCCTGTAGGGTAATAATTGAGATCTATTGTTTATTTCCCCAGCATCACTTTGGAAAACATTTTGAAGGGCTGAGGTTTAAATAGCAGTGTATGTGAACCAAATAGTGAACACTTTTTTTTTTTTTTAAGGCTTAGGAAAATCAGAAAACAACACTCATAGAACTCTTTCCTCCTAATCTGCTTCGTAGGCGCTGGAAGGGTGCAGGGCTCATACTCTGGAGATTATTCACTCTAGCTTCCTCTGAGCAGAACATTTCCCCGGTTGCCTCTCTGTGCTAGTCCTGTGTGTGTGGACAGATAGATGTAGGCAATGGAATTTGTAGATGTTTTGTTTTGTTTCTGGCAGGCTCGTTACGGGAACTGACGTTCAGAAGTCTATCTGATTTTTAAACGTAGGAGTGTGAAGAGTCAGGACAAC